GTGCCTGTGCGGAGCCGTGTCTGTGCGGAGCCCTGCCTGCCCGGCGCGTCTCCCTGCTGCCGGCCCGCTGCCGACGGCCTCTGCATCGCACGGATGGCTACGAGAGTAAGACAAAAAGAAAGTTGAAAGCAGGAATTTAACTAATTCACGCTTCTCGCCCCACTGTGGTGTTTTATAAGCAGTGTGTGAGTACAGCAGAATTTGACGGTTCTCTGCTTTGAAAGCATCGCAACTGCTGCTGCTTTTGTCCTTGCCCAGGAGCTGCCCAGGCCTCAGCCTCCCCTGAGGGATCTGCCTCCCTCAGCCTGCTCAGGGAGGACACGGCCCTCTTGCGTGTTTGCACAACCGCAGTCGCTCCTGGGCATCAGTGACTAAAAACTAACCCCGCTTAAGGAAGAGATTCACACCAGCCTCAGAGAAACAGCGAATTTCTACAGCTTCACTGACCAAATCATTGCTGCTTTGTTGTCTTTAATTTTGATTAAAATGGTAAATTACTTGAAAACATATTAGCATTAACTAGTTTGCTGTGTGGAGACATGTTTTGAAGCCAATGTGTTTCAAATTAGCTTAAACTTCTTCCAAATTGGATTACACTAATTTGGAATAAACGTTGCACATAAGATAAATACTGCAAACATGCAAATATTTGCAGTCACAGTCATTCAGGAATAATTTCCTTTATAGAAAAGCCATATTATCAGCACCTCTTTGAGCATCAGTAAGAAATGCCATCGTGACCTTTCCATTGCCACCTCTGGACACACTTTGAACCCTCCCTGCCCGGAAGCGGTTGGATTTTGTGCCCAGGCGGTTATCCCTAATAAGTGCAGGGTTCAGACCAATGAGAGAGACAGCCAAGCCTGTAAAGTTTTAGTTGCTTTTCAGAGAGTAAAATGGTGAAACCTCCCTGGCAGCAGCAAAATTGCTGCTGTTTCGTCTTGCACCGCTCGACAGGAGTCGCGGGAACCTGGCCGTGCAGTGGGAGAGCAGGCGGGTGCCCGGCGGCGCCGAGCTCCAGCTCGCGCCTCCAGTGCCTGATGTTCGCAGACCTGGGCTGCCCCACACAGAGGAAACCCTCTCCCAGAGACAGCATCTCTCTGTTTCATAGCCCTCGAGGGATTTTTCTTATGTGAATTTATCTCATCAGTCTTTGGACCTTTGCAACTTTCCACATCCACGAAACTAAACATTTGAAAGATAGTAAAAATGGAAATATTTTCAATCTCACCAAGGAGTTGAGCGAAGATTTCTTTCCATTTTTCCAGAAGGACCATATAGCTTGTACATATGTGCACACAAATGCACAGGCACAGTGCACTACTCAAGCACGATGGGTAGGTTTATTTGCTCACTATAAAAAACCCCACTGTTTCAAAGCCTTTGATGTAGTCATTTTTTTCCCTTGGGAATATTGGGTATAATACATCTACAAAGCGTCTGGAAACTACTTTGCAGCAGTTTTTCCTACAAAACTTGTGGGAAGCCTGTTCTTCCAATAATGCGTATAGTTTTAATCCATTTTTTCTCCAGGTACGGTTTGTGAGCAGCACCTGGGTTTTTGGAAAGCTCATGTGCCACATAAGCCGGTTTGTTCAGTACTGCTCCGTTCATGTATCCGTGCTGACCCTTGCTGCGATCGCTCTGGATCGACACCAGGTATGCAGAACACCTTAGCCCTGGATGTGCTAGAAAATGAGGGGCTGGATACTTGGTTCTTCCCAAGACCCCCGTGTTATCTGGGGAATCAAGGAGTGGAGGGATGGATCCTAGCTTGGATGGTGGTGGCGCCCAGCCTTGAAAGCGTGGCATGAATACCTGCTGAAGTTCAAGCACCAGCAAAACAGTCATGTTTATTTGTAACAAATTTTATGAAATTTAGGTTTGCCCCGTTATTTTGGGATGCCTGGATTTGGCAGTAATGCTAACTGTTGTAGTGCTGAGTAATGCCCTCTTCCAAAAGGGAGGGACCCCAAAACACAATACTGCTTTTGGCAAAAAGGACGTTCTAGGTCAACCCACAAGTGCAGGAAAACCTAAGGATTTGCTTGCAGGGTAACACAGTTTGACAGTTCTGCTGGCTGATAAACCCTGTGCACTCGCATGGCAGGTTGGACAAGGTGCACTCTCAGGCAGACTGTATTTTTCTTGCAGCACTGGAGTCACTGTTAAGTTATAACTGAAAAGCAATTTCACATGATAAATGACACGGCTAGATGAAGTTCAAAACAATAACTGATCCCACTCTGATTGCCTGTGATGTGCTCCATCTGCTGTCAGAAAATTACAGTGACTGCCGGAATATGGATCATTATCCACTTCTTTCTTTTTTACTATATAAAGTTTGGGAGTCTCTGCATTCTGCATGCAGCACTGTAGCTCCTGCAAGCAGGGTTGTGATTCACTGGAAGGATCTTTAAAACAATGATGCATTTTAATCATCATATCCTGGATTGATTGCAAAGCATTGCTAGGTATAAAGAAGTTTCTGTTTAATTAAGACCAAGAACAATAATTGCCTCTAAGATCATCAGGATTAGATTTCTCAGAAATTGAATTTGTTAGTATAGCCCAAGGAGATATAAATAAAAGTACAGAGATATAACTGAGCAAAGAGGAAGTAACACTTGTCTCTAAAAATGTTTCTTTCTCTGAGAGCTATCAGAGCAGAGCAGATGCTCCAGGGGAGCTGAAGAAGCTCAGTTAAGTAGATATTTATAATGGGCTAGGAAAGACATGTACCCAACAGTACTGAAGACTTCATTAACCAAAAGATCATCTGATGACATGGTGGGCCTATTTTTAACTACTGTTTCACTGCCTACTGTAATCATTTAAAATCCTCTGGAATGGCTCTTCTCTGCAGGTTATCATGCACCCTCTGAAGCCACGCATGTCCATGGTGAAAGGAGGGATTTGCATCATTGTCATCTGGGTTATGGCCAGCTGCTTCTCACTACCTCATGCCATTTATCAGACCCTGGCAAGATTTTATATTGGGTAAGGTATTTACAAAGTGCTTTTTTTTATATATGACATACTCAACTTAATCAAAGTCCCACAGATTCTAAGGCACACAATTCTCCATCGGTTTTCCTAAAGAAGAAGATATGGTAAAATTGAGAAGTCTTTTATATTTTGACCAGATACTGTGTTCATTCTTCACAAAAGGATAATGGAATTCAGTGGAATTGCTTTGAGACTTGCTTGTCAGCTGGTTTCAGCTCAGAGATTCAGTGCTGTAATTTGAGTTAGGCACAGAAACCCATCTTTCATTATAGGGGAATAGAGGTCATTATTCTGGTGATTTGTTTAAAAAGGCCATCACTAAGGCCACAGGCCAAATTTAATGTAAGATTTTCCATTGAAGGAGGCACTCAGCCACATTACTGAATGAGATCCACTACCCCACCTTTACAGAAACTTGGAATATCTGAGATGCTTGTCCTCCAGGTAACATGTGCATCTGATAGTGCTGTTAACGCTGCTTTCTTCCCTGGTTCTTCAGGAACAGAACAGTCCGCATGGTCTGTCTCCCCAGCTTCCCTCCTCCCGCTGACCTTTTCTGGAAGTATTTGGACTTAGCTACTTTTCTTCTCTTGTACGCCCTGCCCTTGCTTGTGATCACTGTCACGTACACCATGGTGGCCAAGAAGCTCTGGCTGAGAAATGCCATTGGCGACATCACCATGGAGCAATATTATGCCCATCAGAAAAAAAAGATGACGACCCTGAAGATGCTGATGGTGGTGGTGATAGTGTTTGCAGTGTGCTGGTTCCCTCTGAACTGCTACGTGGTGCTCATCTCCTGCAGGGCCATCCACAGCAGCAACGCACTCTACTTTGCTTTCCACTGGTTTGCCATGAGCAGCACGTGCTACAACCCCTTCATCTACTGCTGGCTGAACGGGAGCTTCCGTGCTGAGCTGCGCTCCATGGTGTGCGCATGGCGGCCCCGCACGCCGCCGGGCCCGGCCATGGCCGTGGGGTGCGCCTGGCTGCGCCGCTGCCGCCGACGTGGCACCGGCGCCACGGTGGCACCGGCCTCCCGGAGGGGCCCTGCAAGGACACACGTGTCCCGTGTGCCACCCGCTGTGATGGGACGCTAGGCCCTTCGCCCGGCCGCGCTGCGTCGCCACTGCAAACTGCAGCAAGAAGGCACTGCCGGAGGCCACCCGGGCCGAGCGACTTCACAAAGCTAAGTTTGAACCACACTGGCCCCTCTTGACCTTCTCCAGTCAAATCCAGAAGTCTCCCAGGATGGACTGCCCACAGGGTGGCTCCAGAGTGCAGCAATGGATGTATTTTTAATCAGAGAAGTCAGCAAAAATAATCACATTCATTAATAGCACATGAAATCTTTCATAGTCTAAGCAAATAAACAGAACCTATGCTGATTACACACACACCAACTAATGCATGCTGTTCTTAATGGGATTTCTGTTTATACATAGAGAAACACTGTACTGGTTTCAACTTGATATTTATTTTTAATTTATTCAAGATGAGTAACTTTTATAGCCATTCTCAATTTTAAAAATGCAACATTTTAGCTGCTTAGCATGCTATTATTTTTACGATGCATCTGATTCATTCAAACCTATGAGTATTTCTGGCAGTACCGCAGCCAGCTGTGCTTCCCAGCAACCATGAAAAAACTCTCAAAACAAATGAGAACACAGCTTAGAACAGCAAAAAATCGCACTCCAGTTTGCAAGCATTCTTCTTTAAATGATTTGTTTTCTTCAGTAGGCATTGTTACCAGTGACCATAAAACATGGTTTACATAGTAATCTATGATGAAGAAGGAGGTTATTCAGTGAGAGCTTTCCCAGGCACGAGGCAGGCGAGGCAGCGGCCTGTTGCTAAAACACACACCACGGATCATCCTCCCAGGGGCTAACCAGCCGCCCCCTCGCCAAACCCCCTTCCAAACCCGCAAAAGGAGCTGGGTCCAGAGGCACCGTCCAGCTGGTGCACTTCCTACAGTTGTTGCTGTCTTTGTCTTTTAGTTATCCGTGGAGATACAGGAGGGAGGTGACGGTTCTGGAGCGGGCAGCGGGCAGCGGCAGTGCCCGTGTGCAGGCAGGGCGTCGGGCTGCTGCGGGGCCGTGCGGTGCTGCCCACAGGTGCTCTGCGCCCCGGCCCCTTTCCCAACACTCCCTCCGGGCTCCGGAGGGCTTGTGCCCTGCTCCCCGGAGCCGCCTTCCATGTGTAATGTATTTGCATCAAATGAAGACACTGAAGCTGAGGAAAGAGCAGGTAATCTGCGGTTCTTGCTTCATGCTAGGGTAATTCTGGCAAGCAGGGGAGGGTAGGAGTGCACGAGACAACAAACAGTGATTTATACATTGTTTTGAATACTGCAGATGCACGGGCACATTACGTTCATGCCTTTTAAGTAAATGTTCCCTCTTTCAAATAGCAATACTTTGCTGTAACCCCTCAGGACCACATTTCCACAGGAACTGCTGCACGGGAGGATCTGCCTAGGGAAAGAAACTGAGTTCATAAACCTTGTCACGAAGAACAAGCACCAAGGCACCAGTTACCCCCAAGAAGCCCGTCCTGCAGCGAGCGCTGCCTCGGTTAACCCGCCTGTGCTCACTGCAGGTGCAGAATAAGCACCCGAGTCGCTCACCTTATGGTACAAGAAAATAACAACATAAACCTGATATTAACACTAGCTTCCTTTTTAATAGCTGGAATAGTTGGGCTCTGTACTACCGCAAATGGCATTTCCATACCGTAACTGTTCTGGAATGTTTCTGCAAACAGGATATCTGCTGTTAAAAAAGAAATGCTGCCTTGTAGACTTCTCCTACCTGCCTCTGGTGGTTTTGAATTCAGCCCCCTTCTGCGCAGAGTCAGGTGAGGTGGCTGGAGTGGGTGCAAGGTCCCAGGCTAATGCTGAATCCTGCTAATTTGGGCAAAAACAACCCCAAAATATTTTTCAGGTGTTGGCCTGTGGTAGGATGAATAGTCACAGTTAAGAGAGGACTTCAGGAAGAGGACGAAGGGTCATCCCCATTGCCAGGGCTTCTCGGGCACATGTGGAAACCAGGTTTCTCCTCCTGGCTCGGGTCCGCCTGCCCCTGGGCTCTGCCATAGGGCAGTGAGGGGGAGAGGTGGCACTGCCTCCTGCTCCTCGCCCTTTCAGTGCTGCACGGCGGGAGGCCGGCGGCCCCTCGAGCGGCCACTGTGCCCGCGTTCCCCAGCCAGGCCGTGTCCTGGTGGGTGGATTGATCTGCTTGGAAAGCGGGGTTGGTTTCCAGCTGCCCCTCCTGTGCAGCTCTCGCCTCCCTGCAGCAGGATTGGTAGCTCGGCACGCTGCCAGAGTTGTGTTGCCCTAAAGCAAGTTCTTTCCACCAGGTAGCTGTCAAAAGCTTGTGTTTTTGTAAAAATCTAGCAGATTTCACCACCATTACACACTACATCCTCCAGACACTCTTACTTTAAAATGAGCTTTGTTAAAATTTCTGTGTGGTATTATACCACAATTCTTCATTATTTTATTCTTCCATATGACAAGAGGATTAAGCAATCAGCAGAGAACAAATGCTCCTGACATCCTCAGAGCCACGGCCGGGACTCAGGGCTACATGTGTTCAGTCATCTTTCAATGGGAAAAGTTCTTTGCATAAAGAAGATTTATGATCACCCAAAAGAAGTCAGCAGTGCCTGTGCAGCAGCTACAAATACCCCTGCATGTAAAGTGGTCGATCTTGGAAGCACTTCTCGTAGCTAGGTTGCCTCAATCCATATAGGGGCACGTGCACATCTAACTTGGATTTAAATCTTACTCTTAATAAACATCTGCATGAGCGGAAGTGCATTTCCCCCTCCAGTGGTCCTGTAGGGATCCTCAGACACCTCCTTTCTCTCTTTGGGGACGTGTCTGTCGGCATCACCTGCCACCAAGCCAAAGGGCAACAGTAGGTACATTTGGGACCGCAGAACTTGTTGGAAACTGGTTGATGAAGCCGAATTTATTTGAGAGGATCTGTTTGGCAGCTCTGTATGTGCCACAATCAAGCAAGATTAGGGCCTTTGTAAACAAAGCCAGAAGTATGATCACCAAAGTGTGCAGTAGGCAGCTTGGTTACTAAAGTTATATCAGTTCTCAGCTCCCCACTTCCTGAAAAAAAGCTATATCCTGACTATATGGAGTCCCACATTTACATTAAAATAAACCTTTATTCTTCAAAATATTCAAAGTAAGCAATAATGCCAAAAGCAAAGCAGATCTTTTAAGAGCCATTTCTCCTATGTCTCCCTTTGAAGAACCTTTACAAGCAGAATAATGAACTTGCAGCTGCAAATTGTTTAACTAGTGTAATCAGTTTCACTGCGTGCAGCTCCAGGAAGGTCAGACGACTTTCTGTCCTTCCTGGGAGGGATCTGGTATGCGAAAATATACTAAGCCAATGAATACAGTGACTTGAACGCAAACACCAGACAATGGGACTGAGCTCCCGCCATTCCGAGTGACCGGCTAGGGGAGCTGGGCACTCAGAGGCCTCTTCTAGTATGGAGCTGCATTGCGGGTCCTTTTTAACGTGCAATTAGTCCGTGCATTGCCATCTATTATGTTACAGAAACAAAAATAATCATTTATCTTTTATAATACTTGGACAAAAATTGAAGGTCTAAGAATAACATTGCTTCACATGATGTTTTTTCCTCTGTTAGCACTTGCAAGAGTTATCTCTTTCCCTTCCGTTGAATGGTTATTCAAAGCCTTTCCTTTCAGTGGAAGAGCCTCGTGGGTTGCAGGCAGGTCTGCATCAAGCAGTGGTGCCAAAGGCCATGTATTTTCTCGGTAATTTGTCCCCAGTATCAGAGGGAAAGGCAGGATAACTGTCCCCATATTCTCCTGATGCAGGATATGACTAAGGCCAAGGACCAATTCCTTGTATATTCGGGGAATTACTCATATCCTGAGTTATTTGAACATGACCGGTTAATTGGGTTCACTTTACAGGGCAGTAAAACACAAAGTGTTGTGGCTGTCATAAACAGGAACAAATGCCCTTATTCTAAGAGAGATGTAGGAATAGAGAAATAGTGAGCAAGAGGAATGGGGAAATAAATCCATCCATATAGGATGATTTGAATTTTCATTGTGATAGAAGAAATCTGAAAATCCATTTGTGTAGCTCTCTATCTCCTCCTAAAGAAGAGAAAATTGCTTTAAAGCAGATTACTATAAATTAGTTGGACTGATAACCTGTTTTTAGACTCGGATTTGCTATTACTAAATAATCCACTGATAATTGAGCAGGAGAAAAGTTTGCTAGTGCATAATTATCAAGCTGGTAAGAGTAAGGATGACTTCTAGCTGATTTCTACTGTGGGGTTTGTTCAGTTTTTGATTTTTTCTTTTTCTTTTTTTTTTTTTTTTTTTGAAACAGACTCAAGATTTGCTCCTTGGTGATTATTTTCTTTTTTATACAAGAAGGATGTAGCTGTCATGACAGAACTCTCTGCAATTAGACTAGTGTCCAGGTAAGGTTTTGGCCTCTCTGGAGGCCTCGTCACTGTTTTTATAATAGTAGCATTACCAGGACTGCTCAGTTATTTTATTTGAATAGCAGCGCCATGCTGGTCCAGCTGACAACTTCTTCTGCTGGAGTGCAGTGGTTTATTTCCCTTGCTTGCTTTGTTTTATTCCAGACTATTTTGGTGAGGAATAGAAGGGACTTTTCAAGTGAGGTAAAGAGGCCAAGACACAGCAAGGAGGAAGGTGGCTTGCAGTTCTGGGATCATGTGATACCATCAGCATCTTGATGCTTTATGGCAAAATGAAACTCTGTCATTTTAGTTAGCTGGGAAGAGATGAGGGGAAAAAGAAATGCTTTTCAGTAACAGAAAGCAGAGGTTTTGCTCCATGGAGCCTCTGCAGGTCAAGCTGTGCTGGGCAGTGGTGTGAGCCCTGGCGCCCCGGAGTTCTGTGTGCCCAGGGCCTGGGGGGCAAAGCAAGCAGATAATGCACCTCTGCTCTGTGCAAGAGCCGCCCTGAGACCTGCAGGTGATTTCATGGTTTGTTCTGCATTACAGCCATCACAAAGCTCAACGCCCAACATTATAAAATCAGATGACAACAAGT